ACGAATCCACTTTGGTATAAAAGACGTTTTTTTATGTACTACAATATACGTATGGATACCGTTGATATGCTACCCAATATATACGTGAAAATGTCCGCCCTATAAACGTATATTTTTTTATGTTTTATACGTCTAATTTTACTACTTTATCTACCTTTTATTATCCTGTTTTACTATACGTCTATATTAGATTTATCTTATTTTATTAATGTGTAAAATGCGTTTACCTGATATTGTTCTAAATGTATTTCAAACACAAATTAAATAAAGTGATCAAAACAAAATTTCTAAAAGAGGCCAAGGAAAAATGTTAATATTTCTTAAATGACAGTTTGGATTTCATCCATAGCAGGTGTGTATACATTAGAAATAGGTATTACTCGTGTTTCTATTTTGGTTGTAATTGGCCTAAATATTTAGCAAATTTTTTTTATCACTTGTTATATGTACAGAACAATATTTTATTAAAAAAAAAAATAAACAATAAAATACTAAAAAATAAATAAGTACTAAAAAATAAACACTAAAATACTGAATAACAAACTAAACGAAACTTTTCTTTAACTGACAAAAAAATATATATGAAAATTAACATCTTAGCTTAACATTTTGGATGTGTTGTGTCCTAGACAGGCCTTAGCTAACTTAAGCCAATCTTGCATAGCACTTCTAATCGTTCGGTCGGTTAAGTCTCTTGGTTCACCCTCATTCCTATAACCAAAATATAACTGAAATATTTTCTAAAAGCTCCAAAGTTAAATTTGTATTATTTTCTAGGAAATTATTATAAATAATAGAATCAGATGATATATTAATGTCCGACGCCTTATTAATGTTATCTTCATTGGGAATAAAAAAAATTGATTTGACTTTAAAGCATCTTGAACATTTTGTGCTATTTTTCTTAGTAGATGACGCCGAGACAGGGTTATTTTAGATATTTTATTAAATAAAAAACAACTGATAAAAAAAAAGGGAAATAAGTATGCTTGGAATAACTAGGTAGCCTAAAAAATACGTATAGAAATACGTATAAAAATAAGAGAAACAAAAGTAAGGTTATGTTCTGGAATTTCTATAATCATTTTACACAGCGTAATAAAATGCAACAATTATTAAAAGAGTAGCTAAATTAAAACATTAATAGAAACTTACCTATATTCTTTTAATCAATATCGTAAAAGCCAGGACGCCAAAGCAACATGCAATGCAACTGGGCACAACAACAACACCAACAATTTTACAAGAACTTTTTAATACATAAAAAACAATTATCGTGGTTAGCAACTAGTTAACAGAAATATAACTTATAATAGCGTGAATTGTCTGATCGATGCGAGCACTTCACAGTAACCAGCCACCATCAGTCAGCTGATTCCCGATCGTCTGCCGGTACTAGACATGGGTACAGGGTTGCCAACTTTTCAAATTCCATTTACCGTACCGCGCAATTCAAATTACCGTACATGGCCTGCCAGTACCGTACACTTTTATTTTGTAAAAAAAACTATATTGTGTAACTCTTCGTGTCGTGTTTCTAAAAAAAAAAAAAAAAAAAAAAAAAAAAAGTCCTCATCATATTATTTTAATCATCGTCTGGTCCTTTTACCTAGCTTCTAAAAAAAGGCCTTATTAGCTTATATTTTTGTACAGACTAGGTCCTTTTGAAGTTTTTAAGAGCATCTGCTGCATTTTTACATTGGACAATGTCATTCTAATCTTTATTAGGTAATTTAATGGAGTCGGTCCTTCTTGCACAACTCAGTCTTTGCTAATTCTGTTGAAAATACCGTACGTATACCGTACTTTTTATGTAAATACCGTACTTTTATGTACGGTAATGACTTTGGACCATATATCGTACATTAATTGAAATTACCGTACAAGTACGGTAATTACCGTACGATTGGCAACCCTGCATGGGTAACGCAGCGCTGCGTTGCGTTATTGCGTTAACGCAGTTGTATGCGTTACGAGCGTTGATACACCAGCTGTTACTGTATCAGCGCAACGCAATTTTCGATACTGAGTCGAAAGGATCGCGAGTTGTTGGTGCGCCATGCGTCAGGCACTGATTCTGTTTTCCGTGACGAGTTGAGAATTTTAATTTACGTAATTGATGCAACTCGTAATGTAGATTACCCAAAATCTATCAAGTAATTATGTTCTTTGCAACATGTCACATCATTTGTAGGATTGTAGGTCGAATTTTATGAATTTTAATCTTGTACACTGTTAATTTTTAGTACTTCCCAATTTGATTGGCTACTAGTATACAAAAGTTATATCCTTTTTATATAAATTAGAATTTTTGTATTTTTTGTAAAATCCAAACACAATGAAATAAAAAAATGAGTGCATTACACTGTTATATTTTCGTTTATTTTTAAACATATAATAAAAAAAAAAAATTTAGTTAAATTCCCAATTGCGTTTTTGCCTTGAACACGGTTTGACCCTTATAAAAGGACAGCCCACGCTGAATAACACCGGTATCATGGAGGAAGGACCGGTATCATGCGATACACCGAGGTGCATCGACTTCATTCGGCGCAGGCAGTGGTGTGACGCAATAACGCAATTGCGTTAACGCAATGAGTTGGCGCAATAGAGTGCGCCGGAGTTAGTGTATCAACGCAAAGAATTTTAGTGCGTTACCCATGTCTAGCCGGTACCTTACTCCCCTCTCGATTCTCTGCACTACGCGAACTTTGGACCAGCCCGACTTAGCTTAAAGCACACCCCGAATCTCACTCACTGAAACGACATGGACTAGTCCATCCCACCATGGTTATTGGCGGGTTATTTAAATGTTCGGGTGTTTGAAATCTGTACAATGGGGAATTGTTATAAATGTTACAGGTAATATAATTAAAAAAATATGGTGTAATGTAAATAAGTAAGCTTTTTATTTAAATAAACCTAAATATATACATATTATTTACTTCTGTCTACTAGTTCATCGTAAACTGGTAATATGCGTTTAAGGTGACTTATATTTAAACGTAGAATAATATAGGTATATTAACTAGTATCCACAAACAAAAGCGTTTAATTTATATGTTAAAAAACGTTAAGTATAAAAATGGTAGATGGTAAACGTTTAAAAAATCAACCAAGACGAAATTTAAATGGGAGTTATAAACGAAGAACACATATTGTAATATTATGTAAATTTATACGAATTTAATTTAAATAAACCTAAACATATATTTAGGCCCACTGTATATAAATAGTTCATCGCAAACTAAAAATAGTTGTATATTGTTAACTACATTTAAACGCAGAAAAATTTACAATTATATACCATAGGATGTATACAAAAAACGTATAATATATCTTTTAAAATACGGCATGTATAATAATCGTAAACTGTAAACGTATACGGAATCAACCAATACCAAAATTAAACGAGTATTACGTATAAAATACGTTAGTTATACTAATGTGTGCTGCCTGGGTATCTATGGAACATTTTGTCTGATTTTACTGTTAATTTCATAATTTGTTAATCGTTTTATGAAGTATCTTTTGGAACTCTTACAATTGATCCAGTAATTCCAGGGGCGTTCCCACGGGGTAAATCGTTTAGTTTTTTTTTACGCAAAAAATAACACCCAGTAGATTGTTTAGATTTTTATATTGTTTCCACATAATACATCTAAAAATACAACTTTTTTAGTTATTGAATTTTTTTCGTATCTCTCTTCGTTTGCGAATGTTGGCACATGATAAAAGAATTCTACATACTTTCATAAAAAAAATCTTTTTTTGTTAATATTTATAGAACGCCTTTTCTGAATTTGCTGATAATATCACAATTTGTTAATAGTTTAATGAAGTATCTTTTGTACCTTTTATAATTGATTCAATTATTTCAGGAGCGTAAATAGTTAATTTTTTTACGTAAAAACTGCACCTAGTCGATTTTTTAGAATTTTTATATTTATTTCAGATAAACCATCTAAAAATACAGCTTTTTAGCTATTGAATTTTTTTCGTATCTCTCTTTTTTTACGAATGATGACACACTAAAAAAATTCTACAAAATTTCATAAAAAAAACTTAATATCTGTAGAACGCTTTGTGTAATTTGACTGAGATTTTTACAATTTGTTAATACTTTGATGGAGTATCTTTTGAATCTATTACGGTTGATCCAGTAATTCTAGGGGCGTTCCCACGAGGCAAGTAGGGTAGTTTTATGGGCATAAAAATAACAAAAATTATAGAGATTGATATCGTAAAAAAATTTATTTGAACAATTGAAAATAACAGAAATATTGCATAAAGTAGAAAACCGACTCTCTATATGTCCAAAATTTAATCAGCAATAAGATGTAAATCTTTAAAAATAAAGCTATTTTGAAAAGAAAGACTTGCATTTCGTGCAAAACTTTTTAATTAATAAAAATGATTGTATAAAGCAATTTAAATTTGAAAATATTACTAATAGTAATTATTATGATTTAGCAAGTTGTGAATCTCCTTAAATATCTAATTTTGGGAGCGAGGATGACTAAGAACTTGGTTGATATGTTTGCGGAAAATAAGCACTGATGATGGCACAATGCCGAAAGCGCTTTGCATTTATTAATTAAAAAGTTTTACACGAAATAAAAGTCTGTCAACCTTTTTTGGTTACTTTAAAGCTATTTTGATTTGATTTGGTCATTGTTTTTTATAAAGTAGCTGGAATTTTCGCAGTAACTAAATATTTTATCAAAATTTTAAATTAAAATATCTCAAAAAGTAACTAATCTATTCAACTTTTTATATTTATGTATTCATAATCCTTTATAATAGATACAGGATGTCATTTAAAATTTTGATATATAATGAGGTGAAGTAAGGGGATGAAAAGTATGTGGAATTACGTCTCCTAAAGACTGTGTCACACAGAAATTCAATTTTACCACAAATAAATCCATCTGAAGTTTTTGGACATCAGGTATATTGTTTGTAGTTGTCCATTTAAATACCTACTGACATTCTTTTAGGTGGCGAACATTTATGTTTCCTCGGATCAGGTCGCAACGAAGAAGACCAATACACCCACATGGTAGTCGCTTCGTTCCTTCAAAAACACACCCAGTACGTTTCGTTACTAAACGGCGGCTACATAGCCGTTCACAATTACTTTTCCGATCACATCGAAGATTTTTTACAAGATCACAATCCGAAGCATTGCATCGTTTGCGCGCCGAAATACGCCGAAAACGTTGCGCAGGAACATCACAAACCGTCCCAGTCTCAGGATCTGTTCGGGAAAATATCGGCCGCCATGAAGTCCAAGTCGGCCGAAGTTAAGGGGAGGTTGATCGATTATATAGTGAATCCGAACAGTAGTCCGATGCCAGAAAGGCACGTTTCTAGTAATGATAAAATCGGAAGGAGGTATCGAGATGTTACTCCAGTTTTTAGCATCGATGATGATCATGATAATGTTACTAACGAGGTAAACGAAATTAGTATTTAGTATTGTACAACTATTCTATTTAAACTCAATTCTTTTTGTATAATCGATTTTTTTTTGTACAATCGATACCTTTTGCATTCGTTTACTATTTTACAATCGATTCTAATTACATTCGTTTCCTTTTTTTTACAATCGATTCTTTTGACGACCAATTATTTTTTCAATCGATTTAAAAGTTGTTCAGTTCTAAAATACCTGCACAGTACATTTTTAAGTTTATTATAACGATTTTTTTGAAATTATTACAGCGTTCTGACCACGAAGAGAAGCAAGAACTAGTCCAAATCTCAACCTATTTGAAAAACCCGGAAATAATCGAACATTTCCCGTGCCAAGAAGTCAAACTTAACGGATTCATGTACAAAAGCCATTTGATGGTCACCAACGCAGAATTGATAGTACTGAGAGAGATCCCTGATATAAAAGGTTCTGCGGAGATCATCGTAAAGCGTCCTCTATCGGCGATAGTTAAAATAACAGCGAGGAAGCGCCATCCGGAGTTGATAACGTTCAAATATGGCGTACCAGACGGGGAGAACTTGAAAATATCAGATATGGATAGATTTTTAATACCGAATGCGGATAAAGCTACCAAAGTTGTTTCCGATCAGATTCTGAATCAACTTAAAGCTAAAGAGTGATTTTAATTACCTTTATTAGTTAATTAAACTTAAGCTAAAAACTTTTTATTTATTTGTAATTATTGATAACCTTAACGTGCATTATTACTTAAATAGTTAAAAAAAAAAGAAATTTTGAAAATATTTTAAATGTGTTGATGAGATTTTGACGTTTTGGTTTTTTACCTTTTTTACCTTTTTTTTTCGAAACAACTTTCCTTATTCCTATCTTTATCTTTGTTCGGTTACGAGCAGGTATGTATGAAAACGATTTGTTTCCTATATATATATATAGGGTGTGCCAAAGTTGCTATATATTTTAAATCTCAATATCGAAACTAAACGTCAGATTGATGATTTATTGGTAAGCTGTTACAGCAAATTTCGAATAAAATTTCTTTTTTCCATTTTCGGCTATTTTTTAAATAAAAATCTGATGTCTCCAACACATGACTTTCCTATCTAGTTATTATAGGCTTTTTCCGGTTATTTTGTACAACCTATTGCAGCATCTCTATAAATGTTTAGAGGATAAACTAAATATATACATTGTCCACATACATCTACCTCGAAACATTTTTCTATAGATATTCATGAAAAACGAAAATACTGAAAAATTTAAATTTCCTACAATTTTTTCATTACGGTCCATTTTATAAAAATCATGTATAAACAAAAATTATAGAGATCGATATCGCAAACAACTTTTATTTCAAAAACTTTCATAATAAAAATCAGAATTTTGCACATTTTGTCAAATTTCTCGAATACGGACCATTTCAGGAAATTTTTACATATAACAAAAATTATAGATAATAATATTAGAAGTAACTTTTATTTGAACAATTTTTTTCTCCAAACATTAATAACAGATATATTCCATAAAATATAAAAACGGCCTCCCATAAAGTACCCCCCCAGATGTTCCGACTTTGTCCAAAATCTAATAATTTCACGTCAGGCCGAAATAATCCTTAAGTTTAAAATTTAATGTTTTTTTCTTTATCCGTTTTTGAGTTTTCTTCAAAATTCGAAATTTACACATTTTCTCAAATATCTCGAATACGGTCCATTTTAGAGAAATTATGTATAGAATAAAAATTATAGAGAATTATATTACAAACAACTTTTATTTGAACAATTTTCATAAAAAATTATTTTTTTTACATTTTGTCAAATTTCTCGAATACGGACCATTTTAGGAAAATTTTGCATAAAACAAAAATTATAGATAATTATATTAGAAGTAACTTTTATTTGAAGAATTTTCTTCTCCAAACGTAAATAACAGATATATTCCATAAAATATAAAAATGACCACCTATAAAGTACCCCCCCAGATGTTCCGACTCTGCCCAAAATCTAATCAGCTCATTGGACGTTGAAACAAAGCTTAAGTTTAAAATTTGGTGTTTTTCTATGTATCGGTTCATGAGTTATGCGTTATACAGACACACACACAGACACACACACAGACACACACACACACAGACATCATCGCGAAAATAGTCAAAACGGATTCAGGGGACCTCAAAACGTAAAAATCCGTCGAAAACTCGAGGTCGAAAAAAATCATGATTCCTATACTTTCCTTATATCTGTATACAGATAGGAAAGTAAAAATTCTACAAACTTTCTTTTAAAAAATCCGTTTTTTTATTAATATCTAAAGAATGTTTCTTCTAATTTTACTGATATTTTTATAATTTGTTAATAGTTTAATGAAGTTTCTTTTGGAACTTTTACAATTGATCCGGTAATTCCAAGGGCGTTCCCACGGGGTAAATCGTTTAGCTTTTTTACGCAAAAAATGGCACCCAGTAGATTTTTTAGATTTTTATATTTTTTTTACATAATATATCTAAAAATACAACTTTTTTAATTCTTGAATTTTTTTCATATCTCTCTTCGTTTGCGAATTTTGGCACATAATAAAAGAATTCTACATACTTTCATAAAAAAAAAATCCGTTTTTTGTAATTATCTATAGAACACTTTGTCTGATTTTACTGTTAACTTCACAATTTGTTAATAGTTTAATGAAGCATCTTTTGGAACTTTTACAATTGATCCGATGATTACAGGGGCGTTCCCACGGGGTAAACCTTTTAGTTTTTTTACGCAAAAAATAGCACCTAGTAAATTTTTTTAGAATTTTATAATTTTTCCACATAATACATCTAAAAGTACAACTTTTTTAGCTCTTGAATTTTTTTCGTATCTCTCTTTCTTTTCGAATGATGACAAATAATAAAAAAAATTCTACATACTTTCATAAAAAAAAATCAGTTTTTTGGTTAATATCCATAGAACGCTTTGTCTGATTTTATTAATATTTTTACTATTTGTTAATAGTTTAATGAAGTATCTTTTAGACATTTTACAATTGATCCAATTATTTCAGGAGCGTGCCCACGGGGTAAATCGTTTAGTTTTTTTACGCAAAAAATGGCACCTAGTAGATTTTTGGAATTTGAATATTTATTTCAGATAGACCATCTAAAAATGTAACTTTTTTAGCTCTCGAATTTTTGTCGTATCTCTCTTTCTTTACGAATTATGACAAATAAAAATAAAATTCTACATACTTTCATAAAAAAAATATCGGTTTTTTGTTAATATCTATAAATCACTTTGTCCGATTTGATTGAGATTTTCACAATTTGTTAATAGTTTAATGGAGTATCTTTTGGAACTTTTATAATTGATCCAGTAATTCCAGGGGCGTTCCCACGGGGTAAATCGTTTAGTTTCTTTTACGCAAAAAATAATACCCAGTAGATTTTTTAGATTTTTATATTTTTTTTACATAATATATCTAAAAATACAACTTTTTTAATTCTTGAATTTTTTTCATATCTCTCTTCGTTTGCGAATATTGGCACATAATAAAAGAATTCTACATACTTTCATAAAAAAAAAATCCGTTTTTTGTAATTATCTATAGAAAACTTTGTCTGATTTTACTATTAATTTCACAATTTGTTAATAGTTTAATAAAGCATCTTTTGGAACTTTTACAATTGATCCGATGATTACAGGGGCGTTCCTACGGGGTAAACCTTTTAGTTTTTTTTACGCAAAAAATAGCACCTAGTAAATTTTTTTAGAATTTTATATTTTTTCCACATAATACATCTAAAAGTACAACTTTTTTAGCTCTTGAATTTTTTTCGTATCTCTCTTTCTTTTCGAATGATGACAAATAATAAAAAAATTCTACATACTTTCACAAAAAAAAAATCCGTTTTTTGTTAATATCTATAGAACGCTTTGTCTGATTTTACTGATAATTTCACAATTTGTTAATAGTTTAATGAAGTATATTTTGGACATCTTACAATTGATCCAGTAATTTCAGGGGCGTGCCCACGGGATATATATCATTTGGGTTTTTTTTAATCAAAAAATGGCACCCAGTAGATTTTTTTGGAATTTTTATGTTTTTCAGATAAACCATCTGAAAATACAACTTTTTTAGCTCTTGAATTTTTTTCGTATCTCTCTTTCTTTACGAATGATGACAAATAAAAAAAAATTCTACATACTTTCTAAAAAAAAAAAATCCGTTTTTTGTTATTATCTATAGAACGCTTTGTCTGATTTTACTGATAATTTCCCAATTTATTATTAGTTTAATGAAGTATCTTCTGGATCTTTTTCAATTGATCCAATTATTTCAGAGGCGTGCCCACGGGGTAAATCGTTTATTTTTTTTTACGCAAAAAATGGCACCTAGTAGATTTTTTGTAATTTTTATATTTATTTCAGATAAACCATCTAAAAGTACAACTTTTTTTAGTTCTTGAATTTTTTTCGTATCTCTCTTTCTTTACCAATGACGACAAATAAAAAAAAATTCTACATACTTTCTAAAAAAAATCCGTTTTTGTTAATGCAAAAGAAATTCCGCACGCCCATGGCTTCTAATTCCTAGAAAAAGCGTTCGTTGTTATCGATCAGTTTTTCAACGGGTATGATGTCTTTTTGAATTGTTCGATACACTCAGTTGTATTACAGTAGTTATTTGGCAAATTAAATGTGTTAATAAAATTTCCATTTGGGATTTAAAAATCGGTTGTTTTATTGTTTTAAGGGAAATTATTCAATTGTTTCTTACATTATTGACAAAATTATATGAAAATTAAATTTTGACAACTTCAACATTCTAGTAGACTAGTAAATATATAAAAATATCGAAGATGAATTCTAACAAATATCGTATCAAATAAACTTATCCTTTTCCATTTTTTGCTATTTAAAAAAAAAACAGCATTTTTTTGTTTTTCATTGTATAACTCGTGAATGATGGTAGACCCTATATATTTTTTTTTACCACATCAATGTCCCCAAGATAATCTCGTCTCCATAACTATCACGGTTTAGAATATTGCAATGTAAATATGATAAAATAATTCTACATACTTTTTATATATATATATATATATATATATATATATATATATATATATATATATATATATATATATATAGATTCGTCCTGCCGACGTTGTGACATCATGTCGCAAAAATGTTGCTATCTTTATAACATCCGTCTGCGATGTGACATCCAAATTCGGATGTCACAACGTTTTTGGGGTTCAAACATCATAAAGTAGGTTTAAAAGAGCGCCAAAAAAATTTCAGCTGGATGTCATAATGCTTAATTTTCAATTTTATGTATATATTTAGTTCCAGTGTATAGATGCGAAGGTGGCGCTCGCGTCAGTTGGTTTTGTATATTTTGTATATTAAATATTTCAGTCCCTCGACTATATAACATCCACCATTAAGTATATTAGAATTTACTCACTCGACTGTCTGACATCCAACATTCAGTATATTAAAACTTACTCACCCGACTATCTGACATCCACCATAGAGTATATTAGAACTTTACACACTAGGTTATGTGACATCCAAAAAATGTATTTTAGATATATTTGGATTTTCATTTCAAGATCTATTTTATGTTAACACATTAACTGCCAAAAATTTTTGTTGGGTTTCGCACAGAGCCAACAAGTTTTTTAAATGCATTCACTCTCGGTGAATATTTAATAAATATATATTATATGCATCTATATTGATACAAGGTGTA